ATATTTCTCTCTCTCTCTCTTCCTCCATCTATCCCTCCCAGTCTATCTGAAGATAAATGCAAAAAAATAATAAAATAAAATAAAATAAAATAAAATAAAATAAGTTATCTTGCTTAGAACTGTCTAAAACAATGAGGTCCTCTGTCTACGAGCCCATAAAACTCACTAGAAGGCGGTGGAATAAAATTTGGCTTTAAAAATATTCTTTCTTTTAGAAATTAAAAAAAATGTTTTAGTTATTGATTTGAGAGAGAGAAACATCAATTTGTTGTTCAACTTGTTTATGAAACTTGGTTGTTTCTTATATGGGCCCTGACCAGGGACTAAACCCGAAACCTTGGCATATCCGAATGATGGGCTAACCAACTGAACTACCCTGCCAGGGTCAATATTCTTTTTGATGGTAAGGTAGAATATTTGTGAAGCTAGTGAACAAAATAATGAAAAAATGAATAGCACTCAATAAAGCTGATTAACAAAGTCACTGTGGTTCTATAGGAGAAATGCTGAGGGTTCTTCTTTTCATGAGACTTTTTTCTTTTTCAATATTTTTTCTTTAATGATTTCAGAGAGAGAGGGAGAGAGAGGTAGAAACATCGATGAGAGAGAACATTGACTGGCCCCCTCCTACAATCCCCCTGGGGATTGGGCCCACAACCTGGGCATGTGTCCTGACTGGGACTCGAAACGGCGACCTCTTGGTGCATGGGTCAATGCTCAACTCAACCACTGAGCCACACAGGCCGGACTTATGAGACTTTTTTCTTAAGGAGAATCCACCATAGCAAGAAATGCCAAAACTTCTTACTGTTTTTCACATTCTTTAAGTAACTCATGGCCCTGGTGAATAACAGGGAGATGATTCCAAGGACCCAGAGTGATTATCACTGTGGATCAGGGCTCGAGTGCAGTAACAGTGACTCTGGAACATCATCCTGAGCTTAGAGCTGAATTCCTTTCTTTTTTTCTTTTTTTTTAAATCCTCACCGGAGGACATTTTTGCATTTATCTTCAGATAGAGCGAGAGGGAGAGAAGGAGGAATTGAGAGAGAGAAACATCGATGTGAGAGAGATACATCGAGTGGTTGCCACCCACACGACCCCAACCGGAGCCAGGGACAAACTGCAACCGAGACACACGCCCTAGAGGGAACCAAACCCAGGACTCTCTGGTCCATGGGCCAACATTCTAACCACTGAGAGACCAACCAGGGAGAATTACTCTTTTTTTAAAAATCCACAGATATAGTGTGATGAAAGTTGTGTATCATAAAATTCACCTGTTAGGCCTGGCTGGGTGGTTCACTTGGTTGGAACATCGTTCTATACATCAAAATGCTGTGGGTTTCAATTGCTGACCAGGGCACATATCCAGGTTTTGGATTCAATCCTTGGTTGGGGTGGGTACTGGAGATGACCAATTGATGTTCTCTCTCTCATTCTAAAAAAGAAAAAAAATCAGCCCTGGCCGGTTTGGCTCAGCGGTTAGAGCGTCGGCCTGAAGTCCAGAGAGACCCAGGTTCAGTTCCCACTAAGGGCACATACCTCGGTTGCAGTTTGTCCCCGGCCCTGTTTGGTCATGGGGGTGGCAGCCACTCAATGTGTCCCTTTCACGTCGATGTTTCTCTTTCTCTCTCTCTCTCTCTCTCTCTTTCCCTCTCTCTCCCTCCCACTCTATCTGAACAAAAAATGGAAAAATGTCCTCGGGTGAGAAAAAGAAAAAGAAAAAAAAATCAATAAAAACATATCCTCAGGTGATATATATATATATATATATATATATGTATATATATATTTAATTCACGTGTTTAAGTATATATAAAACTCAATGTTTTTTAGTAAATTTACATAGTCATACAATCATCATCACAACCAATTATTTTTTACAATCACTCAGAAACTGTTCTCCTATTGCCACTGCCGTAAAGTTGCTAGTTCCAACTTTGCCTCTTTGCTTTTGTGTGTCTGCGTTATTATGTGTTTCATAACACTTGGGCGAGTCTTAGAGCTGCAGTTGGAATAACTGCTTTTTCTCAAGTATACTCAATAAATGCCATGCTCTGCCCTTCATAATTACAGCCCCAGTTCAAACAGCCTCTACTGGGATTTAGAGGCTTAAAGCAGTATCTCAAACTGCTGAAAATCAGACATCATTTCAATACATTTAGCAAGTCCAACAGGGTTGTTTACAGCACTATCAGCAATACTTCCCTTAGACCTTGGTGTGAGGGGCCTCTGTTCTGGGCTTTCGGCTCTGACCACACCCTACACCAGGCATGAGGAAACCATGGAGCAGCTAAGGGATTGTCAAATAAAAAAAATTTAAGGTCTATGACTGAAAGTCTTTTTAAAAGTAAGGGTTTATTAGGCGATCGTTAGCAAAAAAAAAAAAAAAAGACCTGTCTTGGGGTATGAAATCTAAACCACCAGAAGCATGGCTGGTTAAGAAAGAAAATATGTCCATCATCCTGGAGTTGTGCAAGTGTTTTTATACATCAAGTAGTGGGGAGCAAGGTGTAAGCTAGTCTGAAAGGATTTACATTAGCTATAGTCAAGGGGATGAGAGGAGGTGAAGCAGGGCTAGTTGAAAGGAAGGAGTGTCTGCTTCTGCAGATTAGTTGTGGGCAGCAGTCTGGAAAGTTCATGTGCAAACAAGAGACTCCTAGGGTTCTATGGTGCCTGGTTATTGTCTCTTTGGGATAATTGCAGAAATAGCCACCTGGAACTTAATCCTAAATCCCAACACATACAGGAATGTGAGCAGCTTCTTGCTAGAGCTGGTATTAACAGGCTAACTGTTTTGTTTTTTCCTCTCATCCTCTGGCTGCTGTAATTTTAATTTAGAACATCTCAGAATATTTTTCTTGTCAGAGTTTTTGGTGTTTTTTTGTTTTTGTTTTTTAATTTATCTACAGATAAAGCAGAAGAGAGAGGGGGAGATAGAGAGAGAGAATCATCCATGTGAGAGAGACACATCGACTGGTCGCCACCCACACGACCCCAACTGGGGCCGGGGACAAACTGCAACCGAGGTACGTGCCCTTAGCGGGAACCGAACCCAGGACTCTCTGGTCTGCGGGCCAACGCTCTAACCGCTGAGTCAAACTGGCCAGGGCTCTTTCAGAGTTCTTGCAACCCTCCTCGCCATTGCCATGGTGTCAAGGACTCTGAATTCCCTGTCTGTTTCCACCCTTGACTGGGTCTCTTTCCTGGGTCTGACCTCCTTTTAGGTCTGCAAGAGGGTGATAGCTCACAGGTGAGTGGATGACAACGACATGCATTTGTGGCCTGGGTGTCCACACACATGCACAAAGCACCTCCTAGTTCAGGATGGAGCCTGGGCTGAGAAGGGCCTGGGCTGAGGGCTGGGTCTGGCTCTTCCCAAGTTGTCACCTGCAGCACCGAGTTCTGAGAAGTCTGAGAATTCTTAATTGCAGCCTGACCTTCATGATGGTTTATTTGTCAAGGTAGGAGGATAACACACTTTGAAAGTTTGCTAGACTGATTTAAATGTTTTTCAATATTTAAACATATGGTATGTGGACTCTCTTTATATTATTTCATTTATATGGAATGTCCAAAATAGGCAAATCCATAGAGACAGAAAATAGATTAGTGGTTACCAGAGGCTGATGGGTTATGAGAGAGTACAGTTCTGGTGAACTTGTACATCTCTGAAGTCTATGCATTGCCTGTCTGTATGTCTCTCTATATAGATGTTTGTGTGTACACAAAAGGGTATATCAGTGAATTAAGATATGTAGTCATTTACTCTCCAAGTGATTGCTGGACAGGAGGTGTGGTCGAGGTTAGGCAAGGGCTGGAGCTGGAGGAGGCAAAAAGAATCTAAGAAATCATTCTTGCCTGGCTCTGGTTGGGTGGCTCAGATGGTTAGAGCATCTTCTTAATAAGCCAAGGTTTAGGGTTCCATCTCTGATCAGGGCACATACATAAATCAGTCAATAAGTTAAAAAAGAAAAGAAATCATACCTGCCTTCTACTAGCTTAGGGTATACCTGAGTCTTTATAGGGCTGGTTATTCAGGGAGGTATGTAATGCAGTTCAACTATGCCACAGCTGCCTATATACATTTGGGAGAATTACTTCACTTCTCCAGAAGTTATTTCCTTAATCTATGAATTCTGAGGGTTGAACTAGATGTTCATTAAAGGTCCTTTCACCCTAACATTGCACAAGTCAGTGGCTTTACACTATCCTTGCAGCCGTGTTAACTGGGTTCAGAAATAAAAGTCGTTCAACAACACATTTATCGCAGTGCCTTATTGTGTGAGGGCGTACCGATGGAAATAAGAAACTGTATTTTGATGAACTCCCGCCTCCAAACGTCAGCTTCCTCGGTTCAGCAGAAAATGTATTTAATAACCTTCCTGCAGCCGCTCAAGATCGAGATCACGTGCCAGGCAGCCGCGGGGTTGCTATGGAGCCCAAGGAGGTGGAAATTACTTTCCCAGGACACTGGTATATGAAAAACAATGCCGGTCTAATTTGCTTTTTCCTAAACTCAGAGAGAAACAAACTCTCGCTCTCAGCACAGAAAAACAGGCTCTCGAATGAACAAAACGAACTGACAGGCAAACTAGAGGCAGGCTGACAGCTAGGGGTGGGGGTGGGGTGGAAGGATTGAGCAAAAAAGAAAAAAACACCTAATGGACACGAACAACAGTGGTGTATTTGCGGGGGGCGGGGAGGGGGAGAAGGGAATAGGAGGGACAGAGTGATGGAGACTTGACAGGCTGGTGAACACACAACACACTTTACAGACGATCCTGCATCTGAAACCTGCACAATTTTGTTAACCAGTGCCACCCCAATAAATTCAATAAATAGAGAGAAAAAGAAAACGACGCTCTCCTCCCGAGACGAATTGCCACTCCGACGGAGGCAGGAGCGCAACGGAACCAAGGAGCCGAGCGCACCGGTTCTCGGGCGAGCGCTTCTCCGGAACGGACCAACCCCCGCCGGGTTGCCGTGGAGACGGGGCGAGCTGTGGATGCGGAGGAGCGCCGCGGCCTGGCCTTTGCCGTCTGTCTGCGGAGGGCACTCTCAGGACCGACGCCAATATGGTTAGTGGCTCTGAACAGTGAGGGAGAACTTGGGGTATGTCTTGGGACTGGGGATTAGAGGTTCCCAGCACACCGTTGGGTAAAGTCGAAGAGTGTCAACAGGGGATGATCTCTCCCCTCCCTCCCCGTGTTCCCACGAGGGACAGGGATGCGACTGTAAATATCCCAGGGCTTTCTTCCCGCCTGCTTCTTCATTTCTCCACACCTGAGCCGCGCGTGGGATGCAGACCAAGGGAAGGGCGGCTAAGATGACCGAAGCCGCACGAAAGCATCTCTTACCTCACTCTAATCGGAGAAAATGAAGTTGGGAGAAGCTATTTGGTTCAGCTCAGTACAGGGTGTTGGCCGTTTTAGTAATAATACTTGTTACCGAAAGAGTGTATTAGGCTTCCCCGGGGTTCATTGTGAAGGATTTGACTTGTAAATCCTGGAGCTGTCACTCTGTTTAAAACTGACCATCATAATTGGATTATGCAGCTGTCTTTGTGGTTCCCTTCACAGATGCTGTCAAGGGCAAAGCCTGCTGTAGGCGGGGACCCACCGCACACTGACAAAAGAAAGAAAAAAGGCAGGAAGATACCAAAACTCGAGGAGCTACTTTCACAAAGAGATTTCACTGGAGCTATTACCCTATTGGAGGTAATGTCCAAAGAAGGTTGCTTCTTAAGAGATAAATACCAGAAGTATGGATGAATGCTTGGGTGAATGCTGGTTGCTATGCTGTTGGAACAGGTGGCTTTCTGTAAATCTAGGCAGGCACAATGCCCTGGCCAGTTTGGCTCAGCAGTCAGAGCAGCCTGCGGTCCTGAGAGACCCGGGTTCGGTTCCCGCTAAGGACACGTACCTCGGTTGCAGTTTGTCTCCGGCCCTGGTTGGGTCATGTGGGTGGCAACCACTCGATGTGTCCCTTTCACGGCGATGTTTCTCTCTCTCTCTCTCTCTGTTCCTCTCTCTCCCTCCCACTCTAGCTGAACAAAATATGGAAAAATGTCCTCGGGTGAGGATTAAAAAATAAATTATAAATAAATAAATAAATAAATAAATAAATAAATAAATAAATAAATCTAGTCAGTCACTGATTCCAGTTTCCAAGTTAACTATAAATCTGATTAACGATGAACTAAAAAGATAAGACATATTTCTTTTTTTTTTTAATTCTCACACAAGGATAGTTTTACATTAATATTTAGATAGAGCTGGAGCTGGAGGGAGAGAGAGAAACATTGATGTGAGAGAGACACATCGAATGGTTGCCACCGGCACAACCCCAACCAGGGCTGGGGACAAACTGCAATCGAGGTCCATGCCCTTGGCTGGAATCAAACCCGGGCCTGTTTGGTCCGTGGGTGTCGCTCTTATGGCTGAACCATATCAACCAGGGCCATATTTCTTTTTAAAATGTTTTAATTGATTAGAGAGAGAGAGAAAAACATTGATTTGTTGTTCCACTTATTTATGAATTAAGTGGTTGCTTCTTGTAGGTGCCCTGACCAGGGATCAAATCTGCTATCTTGGTGTATCAGTTCGACTCCCTACAAACTGAGCTACCTGGCCAGGGCTGTTTAATGTTTTTGATTTTTTTTTTTTTTTTATCCTCACCTTTTTTTCCATTTTTTTGTTCAGATAGAGTGGGAGGGAGAGAGAGGAAGAGAGAGAGAAACATTGACATGAAAGGGAAACATTGAGTGGCTGCCTCCGGCACTACCCAACCAGGGCCTGTGACAAACTGCAACCAAGATATGTGCCCTTAGCAGGAACCGAACCCGGGTCTCTCTGGACCACAGGCCAACGCTCTAACCGCTGAGCCAAACCGGCCAGGGCTGAATGTATTTATTTATTTATTTTTATTGATTTTGGAGAGAGAGAAAGGAAGAGAGAGAGAGAGAAACATCAATGAGAGAGAACATCGATTGGCCACCTCCTGTATGCCCCTCACTGAGTATTGGGTTCACAACCTGGGCGTGTGCCCTGCCCAGGAAATGAACAGGCGACCTCTTGGTGCATGGGTCAAGGCTCAACCACTGAGTCACACTGACTGGACTTTTTAACTTTTGTATATCAGCCTTCTCATCTTTAAATTGGGGGAGTTGACTTAGAAGGAACTTCTACTTAAAAGCAGTGTGGGATTACACAATAAGGAAAATGTAGTCATTACCTTTAAGAAAAGAGAGGAGAGAAGCAGAGACTGACAAAAATTAGACATATACACACCAGTCAGCCCACTGATTTACAGAGCTAGAAGTGCCATGATGTATGGGAACAGGAACTTCCATGGTAGGGATGAGGAAGTCTCGTGAACTCTCCTTAATTCCTGGGATAGATTCAGGGAGACCTCAAATAAGAATTTCTTCAGCCCTAACACTGAATTTAAGTTCACAGCATTTGGTGAGAGGAGGATTTCTAATGTGACGGGGTTAGCTACAGGGGTAGTTCTTATCCCAGACAAGAAAGTACTAAAGATATGTAAATATGTGTTTGACTATTTAATTTTTCACCCATGTTTTATTAAAAATATTTTTTTTTTTTTTTTTTTTTTTTTAATCCTCACCCGAGGACATTTTTCCATCTTTTTGTACAGATAGAGTGGGAGGGAGAGAGAGGAAGAGAGAGAGAGAGAAACATCGGCGTGAAAGGGACACATCGAGTGGCTGCCACCCGTACGACCAACCAGGGCCGGGGACAAACTGCAACCGAAGTACGTGCCCTTAGCGGGAACCAAACCTGGGTCTCTCTGGACCGCAGGCGGACGCTCTAACCGCTGAGCCAAACTGGCCAGGGCTATTAAAAATATTTTTAATTTTAGAGAGAGAGAAACATCCATTCGTTGTTGCACCTATTTATGCATTCCTCCGTTGATTCTTGTATGTGCCCTGACTGGGGATCGAGCCTGCAACCTGGGTGTATCGAAACAGTGCTCTAACCAACTGAGCTACCCAACCAAGGCCTTGCCCATCTTTTTTTTTTTTTTCTTTATTGATTTTAGAGAGAGAGGAAGGGAGAGGGAGAGAGACAGAAATATTGATGAGAGAGAACATCTATTGGCTGCCTCCTCCATGCCCCACACTGGGGATCTGGCCCACAACCTGGGCATGTACCCTGACCGGGAATCTAACCTGTGACCTCTTGGTGTGTGGGTCTATGCTCAACCACGGAGCCACACCGGCCAGGCTCACCCACCTTTTTTATTTATCACCCTGTGGAGTGAAAACGTCTCATCTTGACAAATTAGTTTAGACTCCTCTTTTAGGGTTAAGTCCTTTTCTCCAAAACAGGATTTTTCTTTTGTTGACTGAGGAATTCATAAATATTCATCCATAATGGACCTGTGATGCCAGTCTTCTGGCCATCCATAACTTCCGTAGGTCCTGGTAAGCCTATTCAAGGGTCAGAGAGGGTTTAGTGGCTTGTCCTCAATAAACAGCTACAACCTATGAGTAAATGTATGTGTGCACTAATGGGACTGGTTTGAAGCATGAAGCTAAACGTGGTAGAGCCTGATGGGTGAGAACATGGGGTTTGGAGTCAAACATTCCTGTACGTCCCTGCCACCACGCTTAGTTGCCCTGTGGCCTGGAGCTTATTGTTTCATTTCTCTACTTTAAGTTATTTGGGACTAAATATTTCACATAATTCTTTTTTTTGTTTAAACTGTCTTAAACTATCTACAGTTTCTTCCTTTCTTTAAAAAAAAATTTTTTTTTTATTGATATTTAGAGAGAGAGGAAGCAAGAGGGAGAGAGAGAGAGAGAGAGAAATATCCATGAGAGAGAAACATCGATAGGCTGCTTCCTACTGAGGATCAAGCCCGAAACCCAGGCATGTGCCCAGACCAGGAATCAAATTGGTGACCTCTTGGCTCAATGGATGACACCCACCAGCTGAGCCACACCGGCTGGGCTCACATAATTCTTATGTTTTTATATATCACCCAGAATGGTTATGAGAATAACACTTAAATACTTTTTGGGGTGAGGTGTCAGTAAATACAGAAAAGTAAATGTTAAATGTTTGAAAATATAAATTTCTGTGACAATTAAACGGTAATTGTGCTGAGTTCTATAGGTATCGGTTTAATTAAAGTGGATATTGACTTTCTATTACTTGTGATTTTTTTCTTATTTGTTGGAAACTTAATGTAGCATTTTTAAAAATAGAGGGCTTACTTTTCAGAGTTTTCCTTGATTTTTTTTTCCATGAAAATTCAACCTGAAGTTCAAACGTCATGTTGGGGAACAAGAAGAAGATACTAATTTGTGGATTGGATACTGTGCTTTTCACCTGGGTGACTACAAGAGAGCTTTAGAGGTTAGTAAAAAGAAAAAGAAAAAAAGATTTATGACAGAAGGGCTTCGAAGACTGTTATCAAGCTTTATTATAATAATACATGCTCATGCCCTGGCCGGTTTGGCTCAGCGGTTAGAGCGTCGGCCTGCGGTCCGGAGAGACCCGGGTTTGGTTCCCACTAAGGGCACGTACTTCGGTTGCAGTTTGTCCCCGGCCCTGGTTGGTCGTGTGGGTGGCAGCCACTCGATGTGTCCCTTCACGTCGATGTTTCTCTCTCTCTCTCTCCCTTCCTCTCTCTCCCTCCCACTCTATCTGTACAAAAAAATGGAAAAATGTCCTTGGGTGAGGATAAAAATAATAATAATAATAATAATAATAATAATACATGCTCATGATAAAATTCAAACAATGTAGAAGGGTGCGAAGTAAAAAGATAAAAAGCCACCCTGTCTGCTGTCCCCAGTTCTATGTTAATAGAGGCAGTCTTTGGCTCTTTTCAGGTGTTTTGCTTCAGAAATCTTTGTATGTTCAAATATATATATATATATGTATATATATATATATCTTATTTACTTTTTGCTTTTAGATGTAAATTAATGAGATTGTATAACAGTAGCATTAATATTTCTTAAGTCTTCAGGAGAAGAAAAATAAACGATTTTGATAGAAAAGTTTTCATGTCTTTTCTCAAAAGTTCATTTTAATTTTGTTTGGTTATTTTTAACATAGGAGCGATTACATTTTCTTTATGTTTTTGCAAGTGTAGTTTTGGAAATTGTTTTTCTTGGTCATTGTAAATCCTACCTATCTAATGACAATCTATAGGATTTTGGATCTAGCTAAAATTATAGATTCCTTATGTCAAACAATTGCTAAGTCATAAATGAAATCATTTAAACATTTCCTACACATTCTTACTCCCAAAATGTAATCTAAGGATAGTTAAAGAACCTGGATAACTAAAATGAAAATATCCAAGATTAGGTCATGCTGTGAGATGAAGAGCAAAAGCAACAGAATCGGTGAAGGAAAAGAGAAGATATGAAAAGGACAACATAGAGGATGGTAGTATTTTTAAAAGATGTAGGAGAAAGAAAAGTAACCCAAATGTAATGCAAGGAAACAAAGGCATCTGTATAGACTGATGAATAGTAAGAGTATATGAAAAGTGTGGTTGACAAAGTGAATCTCAGAAAGGGGTCTTTGGTAGGAAAAAAAAAAAAAGCTTTTTAAAAATGTAAAGCCAAATAAACAAAGTCAGAAAACAATTAGAATGAAATAAAATTTGTAGTGTAGTAAAGTTATCAGATTTTAAGTTAACCTATGCATTTTTATAAAGTATCTTTCATATGTCCTTTTCTTTTGTTTTCTTTCTTTCTTTTTTTTTTTGTTAACCTCACCCAAGGATATTTTTCCCATTGATTTTTTTTTTTAGATAGAATGGAAGGGAGCGAGGGAGGCAGGGGGAGAGAGAGAGAGAGAGAGAGAAACATAGATGTGAGAGAGACGCATCGGTTGATTGCCTACCACATGTGACTCCAAATGAAGCAGGGAATCAAACCCACAAGCTTCAGTCCTCGGGCCAACACTCTAACTGCTGAGCCAAACCAGCCAGGGCTGTATGTCTTTTAAGTTAGTAAAAATGAAATATTTGTATTACTTTTCATTTTTGCAGTTTGTTAGCTCATATTAGTGTTAAAAGGGGGAAAAAATGAGAGTAAGATTCGATGGACCACAGTCCTGCATGGATGGGATTGAGCTTTAGCTGCAATGTTTTCAACCTTACAGGTAGAGAATAGTTGAGCATGTAGGATTCCTTAAGTGTGAAGTTGCCCAATCTCATTAAGAAATCCTATTCCATTATAGAAGGACAGCCTATCTATTGTGTTACTGCTGCAATTACATCACTGCTTAATATATATTTCAGGAATATGAAAATGCAACAAAGGAGGAAAATTGCAATCCTGAAGTCTGGGTGAATCTAGCCTGTACCTACTTTTTTCTTGGAATGTATAAACAAGCTGAAGCTGCTGGATTCAAAGGTAAAAGGGGCCCCTTTAATGTCTGGTATTCATCACTAATCATAAAAGTCATTTTGGAGATTTAAAAACTTCTTTAATTGCTTTTTCTGTTGACAAAAAAATCAAGTAATATTAGAAATCTAAAAAATAGCTTTACTCTTCAAAGAATATTGGGTTTGAGCAAATTTATGGTGTGTTTTTTTATCCTCACCTGAGGACTTTTTTTTTTTTTTTTTTCTTTTATCATCAGTTAGAGTAGGAGGGAGAGAGGGAGGACGAGAGAGAGAAACATCGACGTGAGAGAGACACATCGAGTGGCTGCCACCCACACGACCCAACCGTTGCCAGGGACAAACTGCAACCAGGGAACGTGCCCTTAGCGGGAACTGAATCCTGGACTCTCCAGTCCATGGGCCGACACTAACTGCTGAGCCAGACTGGCCAGGGCGAGCAAATTAATGTTTAAAGAAAAAGTTAATCTCTTGTGCTGCCCTCTTCTTAGAAGCTACGGCTTTTGGGAGAAGGAGAGAAGAAAAGGGACAAGGCATCTTTTTTAGGCCCCATCATGATAGTGTGTTCATGCTCTTGGTAGGAGTGGGGCGTAGTTGTTCAGGCTCTTATGGATGTGGATTTTATAGCTGCTGTTTCTGCTTCTTAGTGAGAAGGCAAGTAATTTCTGTGTGAAGAATCCGTACTTATTTACTTCTTCTTTACTCATCATGACAGTCATTAGGAGAATGAGACTCCTTGCAAACAAAGTAGGGCACAGGGAAATATGGGAGGAAAGATTAAGAATAATTAGAGTAGGAAAAAAAAGAATAGAGTATGAATCAAATTAAATTCAAAGAAATGTAGAGAATATGGGTAAGGGAATGTATTTTAATAAAATTGTGCCTGGGCCAGTGTGGCTCAGTTGGTTGAGCATTGTCTCATGTATCAAAAGATTTCTGGTTCAATTCTGGTCAGGGCACATACCCAGGTTGTGGGTTCGATTTCCTGTCCCTGGTCACCTGCTCTGGGTGTGTGCAGGAGGCAGCTGATCTCTGTCTCTCTTTCTCTCTCCCCTGCCCTTCCTCTTTTTCTAAAAAAAAAATCAATTAAAAATAAAAAATAAATTTGTTAGGGAAGAATGTATTCCAGGGTAGAATTCTTAGTGAATTAACTGACATACATATTTAGAAAGAATTTTAGCTCAAATTCATGGAAAATATGGAACTTGAAGCCTTTCTTGATTTGCACTCAAATTGTGTCATATGTACTAACGTAGTTTGTCCTAATTAATGATAAAAATCTTTAAGTTACCTGCCTTGTCTGTGCTCAGAACAGTGTTAGACACACAGAAGGTGATCAAGGTAGCTATATCTGTTTTCATACATATTTTTTTAACCGCTGAGCCAAACCGGCCAGGGCTCATTTAAAAATTTTTTAAATTGATTTGAGAGAGAGGAAAGGAGAGAGGGAGAGAAAGAAAGAGAAGCATCAGTTTATTGTTCCACTTATTTATGCATTCATTGGTTGATTCTTATATGTGCCCTGACCAATAATAGAACCCTCAACTTTGGCATATCGGGATGACACTCCAGCCAACTCATCTACCCGGCCAGAGCTATTTTTATTTTTTTATACATTGAAGGATGACTTTGTGCTATAAAGAGTTACAGGACTGGGTGTTCAGAATCAGGAAAATTCTCCAAGAGTGCAAAGGGAATTTTGAACTTGAAAGGTGTTAACCTTTTTGCTTGGCTATCTGTTTTGTTGTGGCAGATTATCATGCTAGAAGATCTATAGAGTAGATACTGGACTAGCATTTAAAAAAATACAGCAATCTAACTATTGAAAGAGAGATTTCAGAAGGGCTTGACAAAGAGTACTGGGAAGAACAGCTGAATAAGAATGGATTCCTACACGTGTTGAAATGACTGTCGCTGTTTACTCCCAGATTTGGTTCAGTGGACAGCACAGCGGTGGGCGGAGTGTGGAGTGCTGTGCTGTGGTCCGCAGAGCAGAATCCGGTGGAACAGTGGTGGGGAAGAGCAGAACCTTAGCTCGTTCCTCTTCTGGTTCTTGATGCTGATACAGATGGAGTCTAGGCTAAAATAATATATATTATTATATAGCAGAGATATATTGGGAGCAGATAGGTAAGGATTTGGGAAGATTTATCTGAATCGCAACTCATTCCTGCATGGTTCTAAGTGCCATAGGCAACTGAGTTCTTTAATAAGCAGCTTGAATTTCTTTTTCTTTCTGTCTTTTTTTTTTTCCAGCTCCAAAAAGCCGACTTCAAAACCGCCTCCTCTTTCATTTGGCTCACAAGGTATTCATATTCTGATTTCACACTTTTTGGTTTTAAAATATTTTTCTCTTCTTAGTGAAAAAGAAATTCTTGTTATGTTTATCTAGTGGACTGAAACACAAATCATTATAAAATGTCTCTCTTTATCTGTAAAAATTCTTTTTCACATCAACTCTACCTTGTTATATTTATATAGCTACACCAGCTCTCTTTTGATTACTGTTGGCCTATTATATGTCTTTACGTTCTTTCACTTTCTACTTTTTTGTGTCCTTATATTTTAAATGTCTCTCTTGTAAACAGCATATAAAAAAGATAAAGACAATAAGGAAAGGTAGAAAATATAAAGAAAGAAATAGAAAAGAAAAAGAAGCTAAGAGGAAGAGGAGATCAAGTAATTAACATTAGCTATAACTTAAAGGCTCTTCATCGTCAAGACTGGGCTGCCAGAAGCTCTTTCCATTCTTTCTCTGAAGGAGAGACAGAGGGGAAGACAAGGACTGGGGGGAAGTGGGGAGAACAGAGACAAAACGGCTGGAGGCGCAGGAAGAGGAAGAGTTAAAATCTCTGTGTCATAGGTGTTGGTGTTTCTGACTGTACTCTAATGTGAATCTTTGCATGTCTTTTTCTCTCTCACAATTTTAGTTTAATGATGAGAAGAAGTTGATGAACTTCCATCAGAATCTTCAGGATATCACAGAAGATCAGCTCAGTTTGGCCTCAATCCACTATATGCGATCTCACTACCAAGAAGCTATTGATATTTATAAGCGAATACTGCTAGATAACAGGTCTGTGTCCTTTAATGCCTACTTGAAATCTCCTTTTGTTAGTTTCTTCTGTAACTGGTTTGGCCAAGGACCTAGTGTCCTTCAGATCTAGTATCATCATGTGTTCAAATCTGTTAGCTAGTTACCTGGTGAGAGTAGGAACTCCTTATTTAAATCAAGATTTTTTCACCTTTAAAAAAAGTTTCCAAGAAGCTTTTTTAGAGTCTTTTTTCTCCTGATTGCCCTTCTATAAAATTTTAATACCACACATATACTGTATATCTGTTTATGTACTTTACATATAAAATGAGTCTAATTTCCCACCTCTTTTTTACTTTTTTATTTTATTTTATTTATTTTTCTATCCACCTCTTTTTTAAACACTTTTTAAAAAATGTTTCTATTGATTTTTTTAGAGAGAAAAGAAGGGAGAGAGAAATAGAAACGTTGATGTGAGAGAGATACATTGATGGGCTGCCTCCTGCACACACCTTACTGGGGATCGAGCCTGCAACCCTGGCATATGCCCTGATCAGGACTTGAACCGGGACCTCTCAGTTCATGGGATGATGCTCAATCCACTGAGCCACACTGACTAGGTTCCCACCTCATTATAAGAACAAATTTTTGCCCCATTTAGTGGTGATATCACCCCTATTGAAAATGTATGCTCTAGATGTATCAATTTCATGGTTGCAGTATATTTTAGGTAACTTGCTGATGAAATTAGAAACAAACCATTCTGAAAAATTAACATTGCAACCTTATCACTGACTACCTGGGCCTCTTTCCCATATCCCCAAAATATCTCATCCACTTCCCTTCTCCCTTCTTTTGCTTTACCTTCCCAGTCTCCCACCCATTCCCATTTTCAGTCACCAGGTCTACTTGCCTTGTCTGTACATCCTCTGTATGGTGTGTGCTTATTTACATTTATACCCAGTTGTGTGTTTGTTAGTGTGTTATTTTTAACATGAACGGGTAGGAGTAGAACTTTTCACATGCTTCTCTAGTTGCCATCTTATATTCTACCTGTCAAAACAACCTAACATTATGATACAAAAAGAAAAATACAGCACTAGTTACGTCTTGCTTTCTTTCTTCAAAAGGCAAATTCATATTCTCTTTGCCTTGTCGTTCTTTTTAGCCATTAAAAAGTCTTTGTAGCCCTGGCCAGTTTGGCTCAGAGGCTAGAGCCTTGGCCTGTGGACCAAAGAGTTGCGGGTTTGATTCTGGCAGAACCTCGGTTGCAGTTCTTCCCCAGCCTGGTCCAGGTCATGCAGGAGGCAACCAATCGATGTGTCTCTCTCACATCAATGCCTCTCTCTCTCTCTCTCTCTCTCTCTCTCTCTCTCTCTCTCTCTCCCTCTCTCCCCCCCTCCCTCCCTCCCTCCCACTCTATCTGAACAAAAAAATGGAAAAAAACGTCCTCGGGTGAGGATAAAAAATAAAATAAAAAAATAAAGTCTTTGTAGTTTGACAATATTTCTGTGAAGTAGACTAAACTGTTAACCTTTAATTCTTTTATCTAATAGGGAATACCTTGCCCTCAATGTTTATGTGGCTCTATGTTACTACAAGTTGGATTACTATGATGTGTCTCAAGAAGTTCTGGCTGTTTACCTTCAGCAAATTCCTGACAGTACCATCGCACTCAATCTGAAGGCCTGTAATCATTTTCGCCTTTACAATGGCAAAGCAGCTGAGGTAGTGATGGGAATTTGTTTTTAACTCAATTCCAGTTTGAATTACCCTATACCTCCTAGGTTATTTATGAAACTATTTTCTATAAGTCTTCATTAACATCCCTTTGTTATTGCCAGTGTGATTCTATATGAACCTAATTATTTCTCTTTTTTAAAAATATTTTTTCTTTATTAATTTTAGAGAGAGAGTAAGGGAAAGGGAGAGAGAAACAGACACATCAATGAGAGAGAACATCGATTGGCTGCCTCCTGCATGCCCCCCACTGGGGATCGGGTCCACAACCTGGGCATGTGCCCTGACCGGGAATCGAACCAGCGACCCCTTGGTGCATAGGTCGACGCTCCACCTGTGAGCCACACCGGCTGGGCTGAACCTAATTCTTTCAATAGTTATATTTATCAGATATTCTGAAAGAATGTTGACTTCTAAATTCTCTGTATGCCTAATAGATTCTAGATGATCTTTACCTAGATGCTTATTAACTCAAATATGTTAAAATCAAATATTTTCACTTCTTCCTCTAAAATAAATTTGAGGCTCTTTGGTTCAATGTCAGCAATATGTAAATCACCTCATATCCTAGGATTCCATTACTCTCTTTTCCTTCATTTTCTATCTCATCATTCACTAGTTCCTACCAATTCTATGTTCTAGACATTTCTTTTGTCTGTCTCCTTTCTTCTTTGCCACTGCTCTGGTCCTCATCACTTACCTCAGTTCTTTCCCTGCCTCTGGTCTTGTCCTCTCCAGTCCAGCCACTGAGTTTTCCCCATATACCGTACTCCCCGACTCCCATGGCTTTGCATACACCTTTCTCATTGCTGGACTGTCTTCCTTTGCCTGGTATACTTCAGTGTCTCCTTCAGGGTTACCACAAGAATCAATAGCGGTAGACATTTATGAATACTTAGAACTTAGCTACCTTATAAGTACTGCGGAGAACACTTTATATCCATTATTTCATTTCCCTGAGAATCCTGTGGGTAAATTCTGTTCAAGCTCTCTTTTCCTAGGAAACTGAGAGTGCACAGGAGGCCATACATTAGGACCCCTTTTATTTTGTTTACACTTTACACAAACACACGCACACACACGCATACACACACACACATACACACATACATGTGCATATAAATATAAATAGATATATAGATAGAGAGCATCTTCTATATTATATCTGTCTACAGATTCAGTTATATACAGGGTGAGGAAAAAGTACGTTTACAGTTGTGAGTACGTGAAACACAAAGTTTGTTCTTGTATTACTATTTATTAATTATTGTATTATATTTTATATGAACAACTGTAAACCTACTTTTGCCCCACCATGTACAGATATATATATATATAAATATATATATATATATTTGTGATACGTGCGCCTAGCAGGAACTGAACCCGGGACTCTCTGGTCTGCAGGCCAATGTTCCAACCACTGAGCTAAACCGGCCAGGGCTGTACAGATATTTTTAAGTTAATCCTAAGAGGGGACGATGTTTAGAAATTATTTCCTTGGGCATTACTTTAGTTGATGTCAGAAGCCACCAAAATTTAAATGTAAAATTTCTGCAGGTGTCAAAATGTTTTAATCCCACCCTTGTCCAAAAAACAGTTCCATCTGGCATTGTGCCACCCAGAGCAGGAGGAGGAAAGAAAGAAACTGAAACCAGCAAGTTCACTGTATCAAAGTAAAATTTGTGAAAATGTAATAGCAAGGAACACGATTAACTTAAGTCATGCTTACAGCAGATTCCACTCCTCAGGGAAACCATGTTTAGTAGTTGGCAGGGGAGGGGCGGGGTGGAGAGCTCGTGTCTTTAGCATGAGCCCAGATTCACTTTCCGTGGCTAACGTCAATAAAGGTGGTCAGTGTGGCAAAAGAAGTGCCCGTCAATTAAATTGCTCATTACTCTATTCAGTCGAAGAGTCCATTTATATGTTACATAAAATACATTCCTGGGTATACTCATTTCAACCAAAGAGTCCCTTGAGTCTACCTAATTGGCTCATTTCCAGCATCAGCAGTTTAATAATAAACTGCGTTTGTAATTTGATCTCTTCAGAGTTTTCATCCTTGGTAAGAACAAATAAAAGAAATATATTATTGCCTTTCTACCTTGAGTCAATCTTGGGGACTTTGCCAATTTTGGTAGAAAATCCAATCTATTATGTTTATATTTTATCTGCACACATTCTTTTTATAGTCTGATGTGAGTAGCATGTTTAACCAGTATTCAGCAGGTCTAGTGCTATCCAAATCAGGTCACCAAACGTCGATGTTTCTCTCTCTCTTCCTCTCTCTCTCTCTCTCTCCCTCCCTCTCTCCCTTCTACTCTATCTGAAGATAAATGCAAAAAAATGTCCTCGGGTAAGGATAAAAAATTTTAAAAAAGATCATTGATCACAGATCACCATTAACAAATATAATAATAATGAAAAAGTTGGAAATATTGCAAGAATTTACAAAATGTGATGCAGAGACATGAAATGAACAAATGCTGTTGGAAGATGATGCCGGTACACTTGCCAGATGCAGGGTTGCCACTAACCTTCATTTTGTAAAAAATCTGCAATATCTGCAAATCACAATAAAATGAGGTATGCCTGAGGTATGCCTATATAAGATTGTCATGATTTCTCCCTTAAATGTTTGCTAGAACTTATTGATGAAGTCAACTAGGCTTGGCTGGTTTTATTTAATTTTTTTTTTCTTTTATCCTCACCTGAGGACATTTTTTGCATTTATCTTCAAATAGAGCGGGAGGGAGAGAAGAGGGAGGAGAGACAGAGAAACATCGATGTGAGAGAGACACATTGACTGCTTGCTACCCACACAACCTTAATCGGGGCTGGGGACAAACTGCAACCAAGATACATGCCCTTAGCGGGAACTGAACTCGGGACACTCTGGTCTGCGGGCCGACGCTCTAACCACTGAGCTAAACCGGCCAGGGCGGCTTGGCTGGTTTTAAATTACTAATTCAGTTTTTTTTTTGTGCCCTTGGCCAAAATTGAACCCGGGACTCTTTGGTCCACAGGCCAACACTCTACCCTCTGAGCCAAACCTACCAGGGCTTAATTTTTTTTTTTCTTTTTTGATTTGAGAGAGACAGGAATGGAGGGGGAAAAAGAGATAGAAATATTGATGAGAGAGAACATTGATTGGCTACCTCCTGCATGCCCCCCACTGGGGATTGGGTCCACAACCTGGGCATGTGCTTTGACCAGGAATCAAACTGGCGACCTCTTGGTGCATGGGTCGATGCTCCACCACTGAGCCACACCAGCTGGACCTAATTCAATCTTTAATGGTTATAGGACTACTCATGTTTTCTATTTCTTATGTTGTTTTTTATTTTTATTTTTTTGTTAATCCTCACCTGAGGATATTTTTCTATTGAATTTTAGTTAAGAGTGAAAGGGAGGGAGAGGGAGAGAAAGAGAGAGAGAAACATCGATTGGTTGCCTCCCAACTGTGGCTGGGGATGAAACCTGCAGCCCAAGTATGTGGCCTTTGATCAGGAATCAAACCTGAGACCCTTTGGTCCACAGGCCCATGCTCTAACCACTGAGCAGAATCAACCAGGGCTTTTGTGTTGTTTTTTGATAGGTTGTACTTTTTTACAAGTTTGATGACTTCATTTATATTTTCTTTTTAGTTTGTCAAAAAAAAAAACAACTTTTGGTTATATTAATCTTCTCTATTGTATCATTGTTTTCTACTTTATTAATTTATGTACTTTGTCATTTCCTTCCTACTGTTTTCCTTCAGTAAGTTTGCAGTACTTAACTTTTTTTTTTATTCCTCACTCAAGGATATTTTTCTACTTATCAGGTAGAGTGGGAGGGAGGGAGAGAGAGAGACAGAGAGAAACATCGATGTGATAGAGCCACATCAACTGGTTGCCTCCTGCACAACCCGACCAGGGCCGGGGCGGAACCACAACTGAGGTATGTGTCCTTGACCATAATTGAACCCATGACTCATCAGTTTGAAGGCCGACACTCTAACCACTGAGACAAACTAGGGCAGTTTGCAATATTTAAAAACATTATTGAAATGAATGTTTAGCTTGTTAATTTTCAGCCTTTCTTCTTTTCTAAAATATACATTTAAAATGATAAATTTCTAAGTATTACTTTCACTGCATTCAAAGTTTGAGTATCCAATATGACTTCTGATTTTCAGTATGAGTTATTTTGGATTAATTAGAAGAATTCTTCATTTCCCAACACATGGCAAAGTCTCCAGTTACCTTTTTGTTAAGATTAATAGCACAATTACATTGTGGTCTGAGAAGTTATCCAGTATGATTTGATTCCTTTGACATTTATTTCTTGAAACTTGTTTTATGGCTCCAATACATGGCCTGTTTTTCTAAGCTCTCCATCTGTACTTGCAGAGAGTACACTCTGAAGGCATTTGGTGCAAGATTCCATATATGTCCATTAAGTCTAATTATTCTTTATGATATCAAAGCTTCTATCACTTTACTAATTTTATTGTGTCTGCTTACTGTTAATTACAGAGAGAGGTGTGTTAAAATCTCTATTATTATGAATTTGATTCTTCTGATTCTTTCTATTTTTACTTTATATATTTTGAGATCAAGTTTTTAGGAATGTACAAATTTTAAATGGTTACATTTTTCTGGATGAATTGAATCTTTTATCAGAATAAAGTGACTCTTTTTCCTGTGATTATGCTTTTTGTCTTAAACACCATTTCATGTTCTATTAATGTAGTTTTTCTTCTTTGAAATTTTTTTTCCTTTATTGATTTTATTTTATTTTATTTTATTTTATCCTCACCCGAGGATATTTTTCCATTTTTTGTACAGATAGAGTGGAAGTGAGAGAGGGGAAGGGAGAGAGAGTGAGAAACATCGACGTGAAGGGACACATCGAGTGGCTGCCACCCGCACGACCAACCAGGGCCGGGGACAAACTGCAACCGAGGTACGTGCCCTTAGCGGGAACCGAACCCGGGTCTCTCCGGA